CAATAGGGGTCGACTGTTGAATGATGGTCTTAGAAGGTGTGCAAGACAATATCAATACGATATCTGCAAGATTTTCGTTTGTACTGCAATAAAAGGGATCCAAAGTCACTTACTAAGAAAATTGTAGCAGTTTAGTTCTAAGAATAACTGTCGCCCCTGCTCTTATAAGAGCAACCCAATGGTCTCCATGCAACTACCGTATAGCAACCCCTCTCCCATTATGCCTGAAATAATCCTTAACATCTGCGTAGTGGTGGCTTGTAATCAAGTATTTTGAAGCCAATAAACCGGGCCTTTGCAATAAGTAAATCTCTAATAAAGGATAGTTTAGCTAGAAGTTACAGTAATTTGAGAGATTTTTCGGCAAGTGAAAGGTACAATCATTATCTAATATTCGAAATGCACAGTCGTTGCTTGAACCTTTTTTTAATTTCTCACATAAAGATAGCGACCGAAAGCAGCAAAGGTTGCATCCGAGTAACTTTTACGCTTTTTTGCTTCCTCATCTTCCGCTCATCATTACGTTACGTCAGTACGTATTACAGGTTAGATTTTCGGTGTTTTCACGAACATCTGCTAGAACCAGAATTTGTCCATAACTTTCGCTTCACACGTGTCCGTGTTCGACAAATTCAAAACTTTTTAACACGGTAACTTACTACCCTATTTTCCGGCTTATAAGCCGCACCTTATATAAGCCGCACCCGCTGCAGCGAACAGTAGCGCGAAAGTATCCTCAAAAGAGTTCTGTTAAGTGAAAATTGGTTTTCGTAAGTCTTCTCCAGTGCAAATGATCACGTCTTTATTTTTTTTTCATTCTTTTCATGCGTATCTTAATGTTGGTATCGCAGGTGAAAGGAAGTTCAACACAATATCAAATTGAAATCATAGATTATGCTGCCAAGAATGGAACCGGCCGGTTTCCTTACATTTCGTCGTGACCGGATGACAAAGATGGCGAAATGAACAGGACAAGCTCATAAAATGCGACAATACCAAGAAATCGTTCAGAAGACTCCTAACAGATGGTCAGCAACAGGAGAAGAATTGTGATTTAATGGGCAGCGAGAGAAATGAACAAGAGTTGAAACCGTAATGATGAATGAGAAGATAAAGATTTTTGTTACAAACAAGTTGCAATCGAGAAAAAATCAAGAAAGAACGAAAGCAGAAAGTTAGTAAGGGCTACTAGTTGAGAGGTACAGTAGTTGGCTGCTTGTGCGGCTTCGCGCATCGCTAAAGGCACTGCACTTCAACCCGCTCGCGATGAAAATAAATGCGGCTTATACGCCGGAAAATAGGGTATGTAAGTCCTTTGAGCTCTCAGATTGGTGCAAGTTCGAGTCTTCCAATAAGTATAATGAAGTCCTTCAAATTTCTTCTAATAACTCTCCTTGCGTTAATGTTCATCTGCAGCACTTCTGGTAAGTTTCAGAATTGGCCTAGCCTGACTAAACCTCCATAATTTTTCAGTGGAAGCAAAACCCGGACACCATCATCCTAAACCAAGGCCGCCCCACCATAAGCCGATCCATCGATGTACTTCTAAGCCAATCCATCGTCCGAAGCCTCACCATAGGCGCCATCGCTTTTCTCAAGCGTCTTCCTGTGATACACTTAATGGACTACTTTGCTGCATGATCTAGATGAAGTTTACTTGAACGGCAAAATACATGAACGATATGAGTGCTTAACTATGCAATTTCAAAACAACCAGTCTTCTTGCTTACGGCATCTCTGCTTATACTCTTCAATCGAAAATAGTATTTATTATGGGTCGAGAGATATTTTCATCTTGTCTGTCTAACTGTCATAAGATTCTTCTAACATGCTCAAATGTATTGTATACAGCACAAACAATTTTAAGCCATAGCAGAAATCAACATAATCTGAATTTTCTAATGGCTTGATCTCGTAGCTCAAGCTCTTTATGATACACTTGGTAGAGATTTTGCTGCATGAGCATGTTCAAGAAAGTTCTACTGGTAACAAGATCTACGTTAGCATTCGTATCATATTGTGTGGTTAGTTATGGTTGAACAGGCTTTATGGTACGGATAATTGTGATAAGACTGTTATCTACGACTTTATATCCTTTCTGACTTTGTGCTGCAAATAACTCAGTAACTTTTCTTTATGACGTGCTTGAAGTATATTCAGGTGCAGATTTATTAGTAAACTTATAGCAACCGGAAGTTGCAGAACTCGGTGTATCTTTGTGCTAGCTACTTTATAATATGAAGTGCTCCTCTCAACCGCTTGATACCCCGATTTCAAAATGATGATGGAGTCAAAATCTGTAAACATAAGTTAATTATGGTCAGCAATTTTGGAGCTTATGTTCCATATACTCGGGTAATTTTTACTTTGAGCGCCACGATAGAACACAAGCTTCACTTGGAAAAAAGAACAGAAGTCATCTGGGGCGAAGCCCCGGTTATGACATAACTACATAGGAGTGAATGTGAATGAGGCAAATTTAGAGAGTGCTATCTAACAAAAAGCTGGAAAACCGAAAAAAAGCGTTTTTGCAGTTTTTCTGCTGGAAAGATGGTTATTCGAAAATATCTCTAGAATTTAGAACGACAGATCTCATTTAACCATTTTCCAGGCTACGATTGAGTGTTAGAAGTTCACGAAAGCTGTTGGAGTTCAATAAAAAAGGAGAAACTGTGCTCAAATCCTGCGCAGAGAGTCACCATATAAACGCTGGTCTATCTCGTTATGGAATGATTTTGAACACCTGCGACGTTATCAGCGTTCCTGGTCAGTCATGAGGATCACAACGATATATAATGTTGGAGGATTTCGTTAAGACCCCTCCGAGATCTATGACCAGAGCCAACTGCCCCGTCGGCTCTGATCTGTTTCCGCTGCTCGTCTGCGTCTCCGCGCGTTGCGCGCTACCTCGCTAACCCAAACGCGGGGCGCGGGGCATTTGGCCCTGGTACCCTTTTCTTCGTTGTTCTGAGCCCAATTACTGCAAACTGTATATCATATTAAAGCTCTTGATCTCTACTTTCACGCTGACAGCGTTGCAAGACTCCTTTTTATGATTTAAACGAGAAATCTGGAAAAAACGGCGTTTTCGAAAACCTCTTGTTTTTTCTTCAAATTAACTCTTTTCACTCGGCTTTTTTGTGTATTCGATAGGTCTTGTTTCTCTTTATGATTTAGACAACATCGCCGAGCCTACTTCTTTGCTTATGCCGATTTTTTGTGTGCAAATTTCTAAAAAGTGCGTTTTTCTTTAACTTGTTCTCTTTCAGTGCTTTCGCAACGAATTTTCTCCAGCTTGGAAGATACTTGCTCAGAATGATGAGCGGAAGAATCCAGACCACGTCCCAGGATATGAGAGCGACTACCGGGGGTGAAAATTTGAAAGAGGCATCAAAATCATGTTGGCGTCAATGTGCAGCATATCTTTTCAGACAAAAAAATTCGTGTTTGACATGTTCAATCCAGTGTTGACAAGTTTTCCTTCTTTCGGTTTCCCAACTACCGCCATAGCTAAATAGCGCTGTTTTTAATTGGAAAAGAACTTTGTTCTTGTTGCCACCTAATTTGACCGGCAATCCTGAGGAGGAAACTGTTAGGAAACCATAAAATAAATCAAATTTGGTGACGTGCTTACTTCTGCTTTCTACGAACTTTTCATTTTTCTGGTTTGCTTCATATCACTAAATTTCCATCTACATAATTTTCTGAAACAGTACTTTTTGTAGGGGGCAGAAACTCAAACAATTATCATTTTCTAGGCTCTATCTCTTAACTATCGAAGGTATGTTTGCACATGAGAAGTCACAACTATCAAGGATCATGCCTTGAATTTGAGGACCTGTCTCAAAAATAACAGTTGCTTACCTTCCATCCTCTATGACAAGTATGGTCATCTGCGTAAGGGAATCTTTATCACTTGAAAGATAAAATGGTTCTGAGATTCCGGAAAAATTTCTTGTTTTTCAGAAGCAGATTCGAAGACAAATTGGGCTTCGAACCTGCTTGTAATGCGATTTTTTTCATCAACACATTATAGTCCTTCATCCTCATTTGGCAGTTACTAGTGAGTGCCTCAATCTTCAGTCTGCAAAGAATATTATGAAAATTGTTTATCCCATTCTTCTGAGTTGGGAGCTAGTTGCTTACAGTGCAGCCACAGAAAACGAAAATGGGATAAACGAAAAGTTCGCTGGGCTCTCAATATCAATTTATGATTACAACTACGTGCAGCTTTGCGGTGGAAAATCATTGAACACTTACAGGGAAACGATACTTGGTGTCCACGGCCTTTTGACACATTCACGACAATACGACCCACCGGTGGGTCGTACGTGTTCTGCCAATTCGGACAATACGACCACCGGTGGGTCGTATGCTTTCTGAAGTTTTTGATTTTGCTAGTTTACGGTGAAACTTTTTAGACAAGCCGAGTAAACTCCTGCATACACCTCTTAAAGTACTTCCCCAAAAATCAACACTTCAGACTACAGTTCCCATCAGTGACCTAAAAATATTTCGCAAACTCAATTTTGCGAAATATGCTCTGGTCCGAAATGGCAGTCAGCGATAAATCGGCTCTGTCGGGAATGTGTTAAGATGATTTGTATACCATTACATTCGCCTTGTATCATAAAGAGCTTAGGCTACGAGATCAAGCCATTAGAAAATTAAAATTATGTTGCTTTGCTATGGCTTAAAATTGTTTGTGCTGTATACACTACATTTGAGTATGTTTGGGAGAATCCTATAACAATTAAACAGACAAGATAAAAATCTCCCAACCCATAATAACTACTATTCTTGATTGAGTATAAGCAACGAGCTGCCGTAAGCAAGAAGACTAGTAACTGTTTTAAAATTGCATAGTTAAGCACTCATATCGTACATGTAATTTGCCGTTCAAGTAACTTCATTTGGATCATGCAGCAAAGTAGTCCAAAGTGTATCACAGGAAGACGCTTGAGTTAAAAGCGATGGCGCCTAACGTGAGGCCCCTTCAGACGACGGAGACACTTAAAATTACATCGATGTGCTGGCTTACGGGGGGGTTGCCTTGGTTTGGGATGATGGTGTCTGGGTCTTGCTTCCACTGAAAGCATATGGAGGTTTAGTCAGGCTAGGCCGGATCTGAAACTTACCAGAAGTGCTGCAGATGAACATAAACGCAAGGAGAGTTATCAGAAGAAATTTGAAAGACGTCATTATACTTATTGGAAGGCTCGAATTTGCACCAATCTGAGAGCTTAGAGGACTTATATAGTAAGTTACCGTATTGAAAAAGTTTTGGATTTGTCGAACGCGAACACGTGTAAAGCGAGAGTTATGGTCAAATTCTGGTTCTAACAGATGTTCGTAAAAACACCAGAAAAACAAACATGATGACGTAATGTAATGATGAGCGAGAGATGACGAAGCAAAAAAGGTAAAAGTTATTGCGACACAAACCTTGTTGGATTTCCGTCTCTATCTTCATGTGAAAAATTTAAAAAATGTTTGAACGACGATTGTGCCTCTAAAAGCATTGCAAATATTAGATAATGATTGTTCCCTTCACTTGTTGGAAAATCTTTCAAGTTACTGTAACTTCTAGCTAAACTACCCTTTCTTGGAAATTTTGCTTGTTGCAAAGGCGCAACTTCCTGGCTTCAAACACTTGATTGCCAGCCACCAATACGCAGAGTTCTGGATTATCAGGCATTTTGTCCGTTGGAGAGTTGATATGCGTAGTTGACTGGAGACCTACTGGGATGCTCTTATGAGGGGAAGGACGAATTTGGAATGCCGCCTTTTCTCAAAATAAACTACCGGCCAATCTTAGCACTTTAAAACTGTTGACATTTTCTTAGTAAGTGACTAAGAATCCTTTTCCCTAGAATAAACGAAAATTTTACAATTATCGTAGGTAGTGATAGTGCCTTGCTCAGCTTCTGAACCCGTTATCCAACAGTCGATCCCCATAAATTCCACTTTGTTGCGAAAAGAGTTGCAGCGAGACGCAAATTTGATAGCTTGCGCTTCAAATCGACACATTTCTCTTTATTTATGAGATTTGGACAACTTTCTTTGTTTAGAGGAAAATGGGCAGCAGGAAGAAAAATTCTTAAATTTTCTTGGCTGTAAAGATCTCCTTTTTGGGTAATTGGCAAGCTTTGACATTCACTCCGTATCTGAAAGCTTAAATTCTTCAAACCTTTGTAAAAATATTTCGTAAAAATCATTTGTGTGGGAAACACAGGCGTGAAATGAAGCTTCCATAATCGACCGGAAAATTCCATCAAATCTAATACGATTTCCAGTACTGCATCGCAAAAGCTTAAGACATCTTAAGATTTGTATATTTCAAAATTAAAAGAGTTAGCCGTTTACAGCTTGCCGAATTATAATTCTGAAACATTTAAGCACCCAACTAAGCCAAAGGCTGCTCAGCTAAAAGACTTTACATTTTGTACGGAATTGGATAACCTTGATAAATCTAGCACAAATTTGGAATTCATGCGCAGGACGATTGTCACATATCAGAAACTTCAGTCAACGTCTTTTTTCTCAAAGGCAATCCAGTAAAGAAAACACCGCAATGGTCTATGATAACTTCCAAAAATTCTTGTTTCGCCATCTTGATTGCTCATTGTTGATTAATCAGCCGACTTTTTGTACTGTCAACGAGTATCCTTGTTAGAACCAGAATTTCACTACACTTTTTTGGTTACAGGTACCTTCAGTGGCAAACAAAAGTTTCAGAATCAGCCTAGCCTGACTAAACCTCCATATGCTTTCAGTGGAAGCAAAGCCCAGACACCATCATCCTAAACCAAGGCCGCCCCACCTTAAGCCGATCCATCATCGTCCTCCTAAGCCAATCCATCGTCCGAAGCCTCACTATAGGCGCCATCGCTATTCTCAAGCGTCTTCCTGTGATACACTTAATGGACTACTTTGCTGCATGATCTAGATGAAGTTTACTTGAACGGCAAAATACATGTACAATATGAGTGCTTAACTATGCAGTTTTAAAACAGCCAGTCTTCTTGCTTACGGCATCTCGTTGCTTATACTCTTCAATCGAAAATAGTATTTATTATGGGTCGAGAGATTTCCATCTTGTCTGTCTAACTGTCATAAGATTCTCCTAACATGCTCAAATGTATTGTATACAGCACAAACAATTTTAAGCCATAGCAGAAATCAGTATTGTATACAGCACAAACAATTTTAAGCCATAGCAGAAATCAACATAATCTGAATTTTCTAATGGCTTGATCTCGTAGCTCAAGCTCTTTATGATACACTTGGTAGAGATTTTGCTGCATGGGGATGTTCAAGAAAGTTCTACTGGTAACAAGATCTACGTTAGCATTCGTATCATAATGTGTGGTTAGTTATGGTTGAACAGGCTTTATGGTACGGATAATTGTGATAAGACTGTTATCTACGACTTTATATCCTTTCTGGGGATGTTCAAGAAAGTTCTACTGGTAACAAGATCTACGTTAGCATTCGTATCATAATGTGTGGTTAGTTATGGTTGAACAGGCTTTATGGTACGGATAATTGTGATAAGACTGTTATCTACGACTTTATATCCTTTCTGGGGATGTTCAAGAAAGTTCTACTGGTAACAAGATCTACGTTAGCATTCGTATCATAATGTGTGGTTAGTTATGGTTGAACAGGCTTTATGGTACGGATAATTGTGATAAGACTGTTATCTACGACTTTATATCCTTTCTGACTTTGTGCTGCAAATAACTCAGTAATTTTTCTTTATGAGGTGCTTGAAGTATATTCAGGTGCAGATTCATTAGTAAACTTATAGCAACCGGAAGTTCAGAACTCGGTGTATCTTTGTGCTAGCCACTATATAATATGGAGTGCTCCTCTCAACCGCTTAATACCCTGGTTTCAAAATGATGAGGGAGTCAAAATCTGTAAGCATAAGTTAAATATGGTCAGCAATTTTGGAGCTCATGTTTGCACATAAGAAGTCGCAACTATCAAGAAGCATGCCTTGAAATCGAAAACCTGTCCCAGGGTCCGGCACAAGTCGGTTTCCAGAGTTTTTTTAAAACGAAGTCTCCCCTGACTTTCGGAAGTTTTAGGAAGTCCCCTTTGACCTACCTACTGAGGCGAAGATGAAAACAAGAGAGATTTACTAGTCTGAAAGAAAAAACGTGAAATAAGAGTGAAAATTCAGATTAGAGCTGACTACTATGCATGCACATCGGTTTGGCATTGGGCGATATTAAAGCGATTCATGAAGAAATTAAGGCAAAAAACAAAGGAAAGACAATGACATGGAAATGTCTTTATGCTCAGGAACAGATTTTTGAACGGGGAATCCGTCCATAACAGAAAAATCGAAAACTTATGTTAAGTGACAGAACTATATGCTCCAGATGATCTCAGATCGTCTGGTGAGCGTAAGAAGACGGACTAATTTTGGAAAAGGTAATAACATAAGTTCTAATCTTTTTGCATAAATCTTTTGCAAATAATTTTCTATGTAACAGTTCAATTTTGGTGTTATACGATACTGTGTGCACTGTAAACAAAACAAGCAATTTGTTTATTCTAGCCTTCTTTCAATTCGCGCGCTTTTCGCTATGCACGATAGAGCATGTCTATCGTATGATAACCTGTACGAAAAGCTTGTATTCGACTTAATGATGCTTATTCTTGGTGCTCGGCCCGAATTGTCAAGAACGATGTCTCTTTTGCTTTTTGCTCTAAAAACGAAGCCCCAGCCTGCTTCCAGACGATCTGTGCCGGACCCTGACCTGCCCCAAAAATAACAGTTGCGTTGCTTACCTTCCATCCTCTATGACAAGATGATCATCTGCGTAAGAGAGTCTTTGTAACTTGGAAGAAGGAATGGTTCTGAGAATTCGAAAAAAATGCTGTTTTTCAACAGCAGATTTAAAAACAAATTGTGCTTGATTAAACGTACTTCTAACTCGATTTCTTCATCAACACAATCCCTCATCCTCAATGTAACAGTTATCATTTTGTGGGGTTGCGCCAGATATTTTTGTCACAGAGATACTTTTACATGCATGATACATATATGGTCAATAACCCGAATCAATAGCACTGCAATGAATATTCTGAGAATTATTCGTCACATTCTTCTGAGTGAAGATCGCTGAAAGTACGTTAGATATCTGATGCATCTAACAGTGTCCGTCCCAGGGATTTCTGTCCAGAGGGATGCAATAATTTTCTCCAATGAAGGCGCGTGGCGTTGGCCACGCATTCCGCAAAAATTTTTGGGACGCTTCTTTTCGGGTAAGACCCTTGAAATATGGAAAGAGGGGGCGTAGCAGCAGCCAAGGCCCCAAAAGGATTTTTACAAGGCTAATTTGGATTTCAAAGATTTTTATATTCATTATTTACAAGTAAGATCAAGTCGCTTGCACATTTTTATAACACATGTGAGTATCCTTCAGATTTTGCGATCAATTCGTCTCTACCCCTTCTCGGTCGGAATTAGGCATCTAGATATTTACGTTGAGGAATGCTACTAAGTTACCTCGGCCTTTTGGCAAGCGACGTATACATTTTGGATCAGCTTCTAGCACTGATCCCAAAAATGCTATTCCTAGTTGCTGAGCACCATTCCGCAGCAAGTCATGGGCTTTTTCGCGCGCAAAATTGGCATGCTATTGAACATGGGAAAATAGGCTGTAGACAGAAATCTGCAAGAAAAAGGAAATATCAAAATAACGCAAACACAATCCTTTCTAAAAAGAAGCTTAACGGAATTGTATTAGCACCTTGAATGATGATGCCGTGATGCCAGTGAGTCGATGAGTATGCCACTTTTGCGCAGGAAAAGCCCATAACTCGCTTCGGAATGGTACGCGGCAATTGGAACGGCAAATCTGGAATTAGTGCTTGAAGCTGATTTAAAATATATACGTCCCTTGCCAAAAGGCCAAGGTAACTTAGGTAGCATTCCTAAAAGTAAATATCTAGATACCAGATTCCGACCGAGAAGTGGTAGGGACGAATGGGTCGCAAAGTCTCAAGGATACTCACATGAGTTATAGTGCAAGCGATCTGATCTTACTTGTAAATAATGAATATAAAAATCTTTGAAATCCAAATTAGTCTTGTAAAAATGGCTGCTGCTACGCCTTCTCTTTCCACATTTCAGGGCCAAGGTAACTTAAGTTTCGTCTCCAACTTAGTCTTGGGCCCGCGAAAAGAAGCGTCCCAAA